CTCAGCCGATACCTCGCACAACTCGTTAACGTCTCGTATCTATTGTCGTGACGTCATGGCTCGCTGGCTCACACACACTTGTGATGTCTCGCACTTGTGATCAAATAACACGCTGGCTCGCACTTTGGCAACACTCTTTGGCAGTCAACTCGCCCCTAGAAAACCCGCCCTTGGAAACTTGCCCCATAAAAAAATGTACACTTCCTAGACCATGCAGTCTTCAAAATAAAAAGTGTAACCTTTGGTAATCAACTACATTTTCCACATACATAGACATTTTTGAAACTTTATTAAAAAAAACCTAAACCATAATTCACCACTATAGACACTTTTTGAAAAAATTAAAAATTACGACTTTTTTACCAAATGAGAAGTGTTCTAATAGACAATGGGTCGTGTCTCATATTATTTGTTATATTTTTATTATTCATTATTTTCCCTTGACTCGCTTAAATAATTTTGTTCGAAGAACATTTATATGCAGTTGTACTTCGCAGCACTTCACTTGCAATTTGCAATTTCTAGTACAGTACATATAAAACGCTGTACGCATTAGGCTAACTGTAATTTGAATATTCATCATACAACTGTTGTATCTGCCTACGGTATATTAGGACAACATATTCTTTAAATGGTCCTCATATCCACACCCTACTTTAGATCGTCACCAAAATTTAAACATTTTTTTCATTGAAACATGACAAACTATTCTTGAAAGTTTCATTTGGATCGATAGATTTAGATTGATAAGTTTTTAGAGATATTTAGGTCTATACCTTAGCAATTTTAATGACCCTCAAATTCACACCCAAATTTGGATTGTCACCAAACATTGATAATTTCTTCCTTATAACTTGGTTAAACTTTCACTAAAGTTTCATTCAGATCAGTTGATTAGTTTTTGAAACATTTGGTCTGGGACGTTTTCTTTTGAATGGTCCTCATATCCATACCCTACTTCTGATCGTCGCCAAAATTTAAACATTTTTTCACTGAAACATGACTAACTATTCTAAAAAGTTACATATAGATCCATTGATAGGTTTTTAGATCTGGGACCTTAGTACTTTAGAATGACCCTCAAATTCACACCCGAATTTAGATCGTCACCACTCCACCTACTCCAATCCCCGTCAGTCCCGCCAGAAAATAAAAAAAAGTAATTGAAAAGTGTTAACCGGGGAGAAAAGAGGGCATAAAAGAAAATGTACCAATGGGAGCTCGATTATTTTACCACTCACTAATTTTGAATTTTCTATTGATTGACGACGAACACAACGCTATATCTCCGACAACGATTTTTTTCCAACGATTTCATAAATCAGCTATCCATGCTCAGTGTCGTAACGCCTGTGCACTTTCGTGCGGCGGTCCGCAGGGTCGCCGACGCTTAGACTTCCCTACCCATAAGGTCCTCGCTCTATAGCACCCTGATCCAGAAGGTCTTTGTTGATACATAACAGTATAATGTGTCTCTGACATCGACTGCACGACATATATCATAATAATCCAGTGGAGGTGGGGTGCCCAACCGGCTAAACTCCTACATTTGTAAAAAAAAAAAAAAATTGAAAATGGAAATAAAATATTCAAATTTTAGGTCTGAATGAGTGCCATTTCCGGGCATATGGAAGGGCCATAATCATAATTTGCTTTGCAACTCCCATTATCATACAATAGACTATAGGTCCTTAATTAGACCTTTGCGACGCACTTGATGAGGGGAGGTATGTCTAAGGGACTGGGAGCATAGCTCCCGTCTGCAAGAAGTCAATAATTTTGTCGAGGAACACTGCTTTGAAAAAGCATTTTTACCATCCGAGAGTGCCATTTCCGAGCGTCTGTATGGGCCTACTGTTAAAAATTTGCTCACCTCAGCCTCACCATGGTTGAGGCTGAGGTGATCGGATCCGCCCCTGGAAATTTGATAAATTCTTCCTTGTAAATTGGATAAACTTTCACAAAAGTTTCTTTCATATCCACACCCTACTCCGGATCGTCACCAAACTCTAATCACCTACCGGTATGCATCCTTGGGTCATACCTAACACTCCCTGTAACTTTTATTTATAGATCTGTGCAGCCGTTTTGAGATATTTTAAACACACACAAACGCACACCCACATCAACGTCACACACACACACCCACACACCCCACACACACACACACACACACACACCAATTTACACTACTGAAAACATATCGTCTGGTGGAGATAAAAAACATACCTCCTGGCGGAGATAATGAAAACACATCTCCCCGAGATAATAATGGGAAATTCGGCGGTAAGGTTAGGCCTATTGATTTTTGTATGCGAGTATTAATGATTGTTTTATTTGACGCTTAAACATGGATATTCGGGTTAAATCTCTAAAGCAAGTAGGTAAAGTCAACCAAAATTTAGGACCATAACAGAAAATAGTGTTGATCTTAGTTTTAAGTCAAAATTTCGGGACATGAAAGCCTTTGTTGTTATTCATGTTGTTGTTGCTGTCGTTCCTCCATTTTCACTCGAGCTCCTGTGAGTTCTGTTCCGGGGGCTCTCAGTTATGGGAGCTTCAAAGCAGTGGAGAACGAAGCGGTGAAAATGGTTCCTCTGCGTTTATTCTTCATTTTTCATTAAAAGAACAAAAATTATTCGGAAACTACACTTTTGAAACAGTGGCACACTTCACACGATAAAGGTGCGTTCAAAAATAATAATACTTCAAACAGAATAAAGAAAACAAAGTATAAATTGAGTAACCGTCACTCAAGCATTTGACAAGCACCCTTATCAACGATATATCTCAATAGTTATGTCAATTCCATAAATGACCCTTATTCAATTAAAAGTAAATATATATAATAGGAAGTAAACAAAACTTAGAAAAAATTGACTGTTAGGATATTTTATGGTGTCATTCTATTTCTCGGGTTCATTTTGTGTAAAGCGCTTAGAAGCATCGCTTTGTATTAAGCGCTCTATAATACTACTACTACTATTATTATTATTATTATTATTATTATTATTATTATTATTATTATTATTTGTTTGTTACCACGATAACTAAAGTTTGTTAAGTCCGATTGGTTTCAAACTTGGCAGAATGTATGTTTTGTGTGACTAGGTTAATTAATTATTTGCATAATGACTATATTTCATTAATCTGGAAATTGTGTGTATCTAATAAAAAAGAAATCGTTTCTATTATTCAGGATCAATGCCATCCAGCTTCTACATAAATTAGTCTCATCCGACCTTTCCAAAAACACTACACGTTCCAGATATTCTTCTTCAATTAATAAATCTCTAGTTTTAGTCTACATTTCAATTGTTTTATAATGTACTTAAATAATCCTTTTTTATATACAGTATTTATATTTATCGTTTTACACATACTGTACAGTTTAATTGATCATACCCAAATATATGACATTGACCCTGTGCCAAAGAATGAACAAAAGTTTGTGTAGATTTTTTTTCTGTTCTACGAAATCGTTTCCCCATCCCCCCTTTTTGACAATCAGTTCCGGGATTACAATCCATTAATTATTTACAATATCAAACTTTGTTATCTGTATGATGATATCATTTTGTTAAATTAACAACCATGACTTCCTTATAGATTTACTGCAAAATACCTTACATTGCGTAGCACCAGTCAGTATTCATAGTAGTAATGAAAATGTTGTTTTAAAATTAATTAAATAAATAATACAATTGACTTCCTTTTAAAAGCATAAACTATGTTACATAAGTGCTCTTCTTGACTACTTCTCGGCTTCTTGGTTCGATGTAGGAAAAATATTAACTCAAATATTTAATAAGTACTTCAAATGTTTAATAAGTATTTCCGCCAAATCTTTCGTTTTCTTCAGTAATAATGGAATGCTTATCCAATGATATTAAGCTTTGTCAAAATGTAGGAAACTTTAAAATAAAAATCTTAAATATATCTTGCTAATATTAATTAAATCGTTTATATGTACCTGTATATGCATACTAAATTCTAAGCAATTACATTTTAGATTTTAATATCTTATTTCATTATCCACTATTTTAATCCTTCATTTTATAAATCTTGTCTATATCTTGCTAAGTTTTTATTATCTAGGTAGGAATAGGACCCCATTGTCAGTGGTCTTTTCCATTTAATGTGCAATCCTAGTTTCACTTGCATATTTTACTTTTATCAAATTTGATAACATATTTTTTTATTTTCTTTTAAGCACTAATTTCTAATTAGGTGAGTGTTTATAATATTGTTTTAAATGTGTTATTCAATATTTATATGTAATTCATGTACGTTTTTTCAGAGTGAGACCGAATTATTTAAAATCAAATAACATTTCATAAATATCATGGGTGGATTCAGAGATGTCCGAAAATGTGGAGGGGCGATCGAGAGACAACACTACCCTTAGGGATCTGGGGCATACCCCCGAGGAATTTCTGTTTTCTAGTTGCCCAGAAATAACCTCTGAAGCGTTTTGGGTGATGAATAATTTATTTTTCTCTCTTTTTTTTTTTAAATTTCTGAAAGGAGGTAGATCCCCCCTCCTAAATTCACAACTGAATATTGGCGTAGGCTCATATACAGCAATCATCGTTCTAGAGCCTATTTATTTGTGTCGATCAGTTGGTTCAGTGTAAATCAATTTTTCGCGCTCACTGTCTTATAATTTGCAAGTTTCTGTTGCTTTATTGTTTTCAGTTATATTCTGTCTAATATTAGGCCTATATTAATGTAATTTAAAAAAATATTGGCCTATGGGTTTGTCCCTGGTTCTTAATAGGCGGCCCGCAGGCCAAATTCAGGCTAGTAATGTGAAGGGCAATGTACAAAAACGTTTTGCAAATTCGTGCTGGGCTGTACATGGTCAAATATTATTGGTTGTTTACGGTATGACCTGCTGCCTTTGTAAAATTGTATCACATGATAAGGTACGTAAATTGCGATCACTCAAATGTTTAAAGTATTTTTATCACGTGGTATTTATTTCCACACTTGTCTATCTAGAGGTGATATATAAACAAGAAAATACATTTAGAAAATCAGAACGCCCTGCTGTGGTATTTCGATGCCCTGAACAAATACGAACTCTATCAGATTCGTTTGTAGTAGGTAAGATATTAATTTTGATATTCAAATTTAATAATTTCATTTTCAATGATTAATGTGGTTAAAAAAGCCAAGTAATCTTTAGTAGTTTTTTAGTATTTAAATATCTTCCAATACATACCGGAAAACAAACTGCGTAGTACTTAAGTGTTATACGGAAGACTTGCGTTTGAGATTTACTTTGCAAAATTATATTATTATTATTATTATTATTATTATTATTATTATTATTATTATTATTATTATTATTATTATTAGTATTATTATTAGTATTATTACTAATACTGTACTATTACTATTATTGTTGTTATGATTATTATAATTTTTTATTATTATCAGACCTGCCAACTCACCCGATCCTGTCGGGGGTCACCCGATATCTAAGCAAATCTCCAGTTCTCCCGATCGAATGTAATTTTCACCCGATTTCACTGATTTTACAGGTTCCCTCCGCAAAATACTCCAATTTATGCATAAATGATTGATTGGATCATTATTCAATGTATTCGCCGCGATAGACAAGCAGCAATTTAATAAGTTGTTTTTCTGTAATTTTATACCACTGCCGATACCACTATGATTTGTCTTGACGTGTCTTTTTTTTGTAAATTGCATCATCTTTTGGTTAATTCTGGAAACCTCTAGATTTTTTGGTTTTTAAGATTTAAAAAAAAAATCTCCAGATTTTCATGACCCAGGGGTTGGCAGTTCTGTTATTATTGATTAATATTGCTAATGTTACTGTCATGGCAATTTTTACTGTTGTTCAGTGAAAAAAGGTCAAGTAAAACCACATAGATAAACACAATTGAGTAGGACACTAACAAATAAATAGGTCTATGGTATGTCCATACTGGCGAACAAACGCTCCGATTGGTGGAGTCAGTCACCATTTACAGGCCCGTAGCCGGGGTGGGGGGGTTATGGTTCAGGCGAACCCCCTTTTCTAGCGAACCCCCACCCGTTTTTAAATTGTAGCCTGCGATACAAGCCTACATTCATAGAATATCTCAGCTTCAGAAAATTAAAACGCAATTCCAGCAAACCATGACTTTACGATGGCACACATAAGGATGGCAAACATCGATAAAAACCCGGCTGCCGTCTCAACTTTCACTGGCCTTTGGCTGAATGTTTTTAAGAAACGTACCAACCGGTAACGAAACCGGTCGCCGTCTACCTACAGTAAATGGTGCCACCAAACGAAGCTTAAGTTTTGCGACTTAATCCACCAAATGCAGATAAGGTTTTGCGACTTAATCACCTAATTGTGGGTTGTGTGGTTAGAAAATTCCATAGCCATACTGTCCATAGCACACACTAAACTATGTGCTGATGGAGCATTTTGGGGAAATGGGCTCTCCTTTTTTTCATCCCAAACAAAATATTATTAATAAATCAACATAGTCCATCTCAGTCATCATAGCACTACACTACAGAACGGGGTGCGTCAAAACGAGTGTTTGTTCATTTTTAGTGATAAAGAATCATGAAACGTTGTAGAATAACTGACCTTTTTTCGTCCGCTGTTGCAAAGAAGAAAACGACAGAAAGTCCTGGTGGGTTATTGATTTTAAAATTAATTAGCCTAGCCTAGATGTTGACTAGCTAGGTTCGCTCCTCGTTCATTTAGATACAGAATTATACCCTGACGACAACAAACTAGTGTTGGCCTAGGCTTAAGTACAGAGGACGTACTACAGGTAGGCCTAGGCTTTTGTTGTAAAAGTTGAATTGCATGTACAGGATGCGCCATAGACCTATATTTAAAAAAATACATTTTGTTAATTGTTATTGGTTGGCCTGGGACGGACCTAGGCAGGCAGGCCAGCTTTACCGTCGGAAGTCCTGGGATTCGACGATGACGTCCGTGCACGTTTACAAACG